TAAAAAATTAAAAACAAAATAAAGAGACAAGGAGAGATAATTAGCTTAACCGATGTGGTTGATTTTATTCTCTTAAGTCTAATATATCATTAAATAATCTAAAATATCTAGATCAATTTTTAATCATTTTTTATTGGATATTAAATTAAATATTTTTTAATAAAATGCTTTAAATCTTCATTGGTTCAAAATCTTTTTAGCCCAGTTCAAAAAAGCTTTTGGTATTTTCTTGTGTATGGGGGGTGTAATGACTCATCCAGTGGGCTGTAGAGCAATAGCTAAAGACGTTGGCAATATACGCTACTTTTTCTGTTTATTATGTTTTCACAGTAAATAACTGGGAGATAATTACAGAAATAAATTTAAAATTAATAGTTTAAATCTCAATGGATGCCCACAATAAAGGGTAGAGTTATTTATTCGCCTCTGAGAATTTTTATTCGAGTGACTTTCAATGGGAACATTTTTTGAGTTGATAGTCTTTGCTCTCTTACAGAACTACTTTCAGAAGAGGGCTACAAAACCTATCTTAAATTCTCGCTCTTGGGGTTATTAGTAATAGTAAATTCATAATTTTTGGTGAAAAGTTTTTCTGACTTTTTAAGTCATTGGTAATTGAGAGGAAACTTTTATGCGAATACGTATAAGATGTAGGTGCGATTTTTAACGTTATAGCTTTTCTAAAGGGATAGTATTCCTAGTTATTATGATTATCGCTATAACTATGAAGAACTATATTTTTAAAAAATATTATTAATAAAGTGGTATTGCTCTAATCGCCATATTAATAACAAAACTATACTTATTATAAATATTACTCTTATAGTTCTTACCTCATTGGTTAATGGTAATATACATAATGCTAAAGTTGGTATTATTTTTGTTATTACAGAGAATATGTAGTACTCTTTTTCGTATGATATTCTTTTGACTATTACTGGCTAATTCTAGGGCTGAAAAACAGCCTTTCACTTTTTAGGAATATTCATAGTTGTTCATTCTACTTTGAATTTATATATACTTTTATATGTAATATTTAGTTTGGTTGTTAGTTTGTCGATGGTATACAATAGTTAAGCCACAGTATCAGGGCTATGTTGTTATAACCTAGTCCAGTTAAGGTTTATATATGTTTATATATATATTAAGCCCTTTAAATAAATAATAAAATTAATATATGTGAGTTGAACTAATGAACATATAATATTTTAATTGCTTCCGTTAGTAATATATATCTAACAAGTCGAAACATTCGCTTATGAAAGTGCATATAAACCTGGAAGGAAAACATTGCTATTAACGAAGATTCATGACTATACGATATATACTTAACGTCTTAAATTTTATAGGCAATAATTTTTGCTTCATAAAAAATTAAAGAAAAAAGATTTATTTTTTGATAAAACTGACCTTACCAAAGGTTAGAGGTTAATTTACGTTAGATTAAAGTTATTATCATATTTATAATTATATTTCTCAAGGTGTAGAAAAGTCGTAGGACTTACAAATAACAGGACAGTTATATTAAACTTAAGTCACTAAACCATTAAACTTGTGGTGAAACACATTACGTCTTCTAAGTAATTCGAAATATCTTAAAAATGGATAGTAAGTTAAAGATGGTCAATAGCCAAAAGCTTGTCGAACTTTAGCTGTTCTTTTCTCTTGTACTTCTTAAGCAGAGTAATATAGTAGATTAAAAAAAACGGAGCGAGTCTTATAATTTCAAGCAGTTGGAACATTAAATTATTTTACTTCTCTGTGAAGTAAAAGGCACAAGTAAATTGTTTGTCAATCAGTACAAGCATAGATTTAGTATTTCTTTTAGTTCCTTAGCACAAAAGCTTAATCAAAGAAATCTTTTTTATATTGTATATAGGTTTCTTATCAATTTTATTTTAGAAGTATTCCGGACATAATGTTTAACTCGTGAAAAATAAAATTTTAACGCTAGAGCAAAACCTTCCAATTCATCATACTTTTTTTTCTTTTTCGCAACTTTTAAGCATTCGAGTAAAGAGTTATTTCACAAGCTAAAGTTAATTTTCAATTAAAGCGTGCAATAAATTACCATGACATGAGAATAAAATAACGAAAATTTAGAAGAAGATTGGTATTACATAACTAAAAATGCCTATTTATCAATCAAGTTTTAATCTTACAGTTGTGAAATTTTCTAGTTCACTTTTAAACCAAAACTAAAGAATCCTGTGATTGATCCTACCAATTAATATGTTTTATAATAGAAGTGAGTTTGATAAACTAAATAAGTTTAGAGAGATAATTACAAAAGTACTTTTTTATGAGAAAGCAACAAGACATTAAGGCATGACTGCCTTGCATTGAATTTACGAAGTTCTAATGGATGTGTATGTATATTTAAGAATCAGTTCACTTTTATTTTGCTTAATACCAAAGGGACTGGGGTCAATGAGCATTAACGTGTTTTTATTTTAAAAAACACTGGACAGTTTCTCTGTTGAAGAATCTTGATCCAACTCCGAATATTGACTGATCCCCAAAGTAATTTTTAAAACATCGAAATTGCTTATAATTAAATTGAATTCCTATAAAAACTAAAATGTTTTAATGTTAATAATAACGATCGAGGTCATATATACTTAGTAAGTACCTGGAGGAAAAATCTCCTGATGTTTATGCGAGTGATCAGGGAAGGCGATCCTTTCTCCCTATAAAAGTTTGAGCATAGCCTACTTACTTTATCCTGCTTCCAAACTTATGTAAGCGTTTATATATGAAAAACATTACGTAAATATTATAAGTACTAAGTACGTCGTATAATATTTATATCCTCGCGAATAATATAATGCTCTCTTTTTCCCAAAACCTCCGTAAATAAGTACAAGTAAAACAAGAATACAAGTTACTTAGTAGTCATTACGTAACCACTTTTCCTCTGGTAATTTTCTTTACTTAATAAAAAAAAAGGTTCAGTTACTGTTTAACTTTTATGCGATAACCAAAAAAAAAATTCAACGCGTAGTGTCAGTTAAAAAAAGTTTTTTTCCTGCCTTTTGTAAGAAGGTACACCATATTTTTATATTTTTCATTACTAGGAAAAACATTTTTCTCTCGAAGCGAGTGTATGGAAGGAAGTCCGCTGATGACAGGAATTTTTTTAATTTCGTGGGACAGTTAGCATGCAGAAAGAATATTACATTAATAGCTTAAAAAAAACATTTTATTTCTAATTGGATAAAGCGAAGGAGATATGCAAGCTGCAAGCTAATATAGGATTTCTTGTTTCTTGTTTTACAAAAAAAATGCTCTATGTTCTATGTGTTCAGCTGAATTTTCAGTTGAAAGCCTGTTAGCGAAAATATTAGCTAGAAAATACAATAAGTGCGACAGCCCTTCTAAGTCAATTTCATCAAAAATTGAATTGGCTAAGGAAAAAGTAAAACATTTAAAAATAACTTTCGTGTTTCCTATTTAGCCTTTTTGCTTAGATTTAAAACAAAGACATGCCTCTATAAATAATAAATAATATTATAATATGCAATAAGTTTTTTTTAAATAAACAAATTCATAAGATATATTTACTTGTCATTAGTTAAGTAAAAGTTAAAACAAACTAATTAGTCTTATACTTAGAACCGCTGTATGCTAAAAAAAATTTTAAGTATAGCAATTACTCCATCACTTTATAAAAACTGACAAAAATAATTAAATTAATGAAGTCTGCTTTTTTAACGCGCTTTACTTTTTTCTTAAAAAACAGTTGAATACTATAGTTTATCTAATGATAACGTTTATTTTTATTAAATATTACAATATTTGTTTCTCCTTAATTACAAAGATTTATTAAACAGCAGTAAGTTTTAAATCTTGTCATTTTTAATTTAATCTATACATACTTGATACAAATGGTAATTCTACCTAATGTTTTGTGGAAGATTTCCTAAATGAGAAAGATCGGTGTTTAGGAATAGTAATAACAAGTAATTTAACCAAAGACCAAATATCATCATGTGTATTACAAAAAATGCTCCTTTTAAAAGCTTGAATACGTAGTTAAGATTTAAATCTTTTACAAGAAATTATTTATAAATATGGTTGTGTAAATAAGCTTAAAAATTTTATTTTGTGAAAATCTGCATGTTTTAGTTTAGAGATGATTTATATGCTTTAGCACAGCTTTTAAAAAACACGCTTATTAATGATATGGCTTTAAAAATTTCATAGGCAATTTTTTTGTAAATTGAGTTTTATTTTTAACTATTCTACTATTAACTATTGTGCGTGAGTTTAAAGTTATTTTAGATAGTTTAAAGATCGAAATCTTTTACTGAGTGGCTTCACCTATCCCTAAAAAAAACTTTAAAAATCTGAGCACTTTAAAAAAGGAAAACCGTCATGCCTGGCTACAATTTTAGCTTCTTTAAAACATATGATATGGTACTACAAAATTTAAGAAAGGTCATAATATATGGATTCAGAAAATGGTACATTTTAATACGATTACAACACTTTAAACCTAAATATGTCAAAGCTTTTAGCCGTCAATATTTTTGATTAAGGAAAGGTAGTTTCATAGAAAAGCCTCTTGAAGAGAGTACGACGGCAACTTAAAAAACGCGTTTAATAATAATTGGTTAAGGTCGCCTTTTTCATTTAGAACTTTAATGTTTATATAACCTATAAAAAAGCCTATAAAATTATATAATTTCTACTATTATAACTTGTCTAACAGGTTGCATAGACAATAAAACTTAAAATATTAATAAAATAACTATTATAATAAAGTAAACCACCTTTGTTTCATTAATTGGATAAAAAAAGTAAATACTAATATCTTATACTTGATATTAAAGAAACATTAAACTCTAATACTACAACATTATGGGGCAAATAAATACTGCAAAAGTAAATATGGTAAATTATAAACGTATGCGTTTATTAACTATAAAAGTTCACATAGTATAAATACTTAGAATAGCAGTTTCTCTTATCTATTAGTTCTTTAAGGCTCTAGGAATGGTAGTGAATCTCTTGGTGTTGTTTCTCTATATAACTTCGCGGCCCGAGGTGATTTCTCAACAATCTCCATGCGGCGGTCCTTACACTGACCTAAAATTGTAATATCTTATCATTTGCTTCTTTTAATTAAGAGTAGTTGGGGTATAATTTGTTGACTTTAAAAATATAACAAGGTTAGGGTTATTATATTTAGGATTAAAAAGAAGGGGCATTTAAATGAGGGTTCGAATAGAATTACTTTTTTTTTAAAATTACATCAGGAACTTACTAAGCTTATAATATACCTTTAGTTTGTAGTCCTTAGAAAAATGATAAATTAATTTTTCGTTTAAATACTTTGAAAAATAGAGACTTGTCTTCTTGTTACTTTGATGTGTTTCCTCCTGAACAGCTGCCTCGTAACCTACAAATTTTGTATGTTTTTAAAATTTATAACATTCAAATGCACTACTAATTATACTTTAATGACGCCTTTTTAGAGAACTGGGAGGCAGCGAAATTGGATTAGTCAGCGATAATGCTCTCAATGATCTTACCTCGTTAGTTGTATTGTAAGTTAAATCTATCACTTTTACTTTTTAGGTCGAAGGCCAAGTTATAAACAACTTAAAGGCCAGTCAACTGTTTAGCCTCCCACTGTTACGTGATTTAGAACGTAAAGTGTTCTATAAGCTAGTATCAAGGGGTTGCTTATCGAGGGTTAAAAGAGCCTTTACCATATAGATTAGTTATGCATTTACTGATGCCAGCTGGCATGCCAATTAGTTACTGTTACTTCAAGTATCATATACTAAATTTTAAAGAATAGTAAACGCCATTTGAAATACTATAGCATTTTTCTGTACAACTTGTTGGAAGCTAGGGAAGTAAATTTGATGGCTTTGATGCTACAAAAAGTTATAAGACCTCGGGCAATATAAAAGTGATACTCGTAGCATTTAAAATGATTATAAACTTAAATTTTAAATAGTAAGTTTAACCGAATATTTTATAGGGAGTTATATGTTGTTATTATACTTTTTTAAAATATACTAAACTCAAGACTTAATATTTTAAAGAGGCTTAACTAATATCGGCCTCACCTCCATCAACAGAAAATTGTTTAAGGGCTTGAGAAGTCTTAAAGTGTTGTAAGTGAATCGAATTTTTTTTTTTAATTTTTCATATCACTTTAAACGATAGTGTTGAGCTGTATTATAATTGTTTAATTACAATCTTTTGACGGCAGAATACTAAGCTGAAAGGCTATTGTGTTATTATTGCTCATAAAATAATACAACTGCTAATATACTGGATTTAATTTTACTTAAAATTTTAGAGGTTTAAGCAGAAATCGAATCAGCTATATTGAAAATAACTCATTTGAAGATTTGATATCTCTAGAAGAATTGTAATTCAACTAATTATTATTAAGTTAACTTAATATATTTTAAATTAGCCTTTAATATTAGTTTTAACAAGTTTATTTTTATAACAAAAATTGTCTTACAATATCTCGCTTGAGTAAGACAAGTAAACTTCAAATTATAAATATTTAAATGTTTGTGAATAGGTATCTAAACAATAACTTTATTACTTCCGTTGGAATCTCCACTTTTTCCAAACTGAGAGCTTTAAAAATATTGTACTCCTTTTTCAAAATATAAAATGGGTTTTACTAAACACTTTGTAGTTTAGTAATTAATAATGTTTCATTACTAATGTCATTTATTTAGAACTGTAGGTAACAACAAGCTCACTTCATTGGGAAGTAACCTATTCAAAAATCTTGCTAATCTTATTAATCTGTAAGTTTTATCTATTTATACGATCTCAATGTAACTGAAAAGTAGTTAAGTAAAAAGTACTTTTATTACCGTTTTTTTTTACATAAAACGCTGGTACTTTTACATGGTTAATATAGTTATTTTTTTTTAAAGGAGTTTTATTTATTAAACAAAAAATCAGATGACAAATTTATGAAGACATTTGAGTTTTTACCATTATTGCAAGGCGGTCAGACTTACTTTTTTTTAAGTTGGCATTGGCATATTAAAAATCCTATACTTGAACACTATAAATTTTTTAGTTTGAAAATAAACTGTGTATAATGGAATTATTTATATTAAAAATAATTTTTAAAAGGCCCATGAAGATGGGCATAATTTCAAAGCAGTAACTTTGGGTCAGATTTTTTTAAACTTTAGTTTTTTAATTTCGGACGTATAAAGATTGTCGCTATAATGATATATAATTAAATATAGTGATCCATTTTTTAAGGTTAAAAAAACGGTAATTTAATGTTACAGATATCTTGCGAATAACTCAATTAAAGAGATTGAAGCCACAGCTTTTCTTAATTTGAAGTCTTTAACTACTTTGTAAGTCCTTTTACACCTCTAGTAATCCTTTTACTTGGTTAAGATTTTTTAAAACTCTCATCATATTTAACTAACATGCTGTATAATTAGAGAGTTGGGCAATAACAAGCTTAAGTCAGTAAAGCAAGACTTTTTTACGGGGTTCCCCTCCCTGAAAGAGTTGTAAGTTTAAAGTGTATTAAAGTTAAACAGCGCCACTTTGTAATATAGTAGTAACAGTGGATAGTAGGTTACAGCTTTTCCTTGTGCTACTAAATAATCTGAAGCACACAATTTTGTAAAGTAACAGGTTTTGTAAACTTTTGACTTTATTTTCTTCTGCCCTTTCTCATAATCCATTAGTATATTAAAGCCATATAAGGCCTTTTATTTTATATATTGGTTATTTTATAAGGCAGTGCTATACTAATTGTTTATTGTTTTATAGATATTTATATAATAACCAATTAACTACTATGCTATTCTGCTCAAGTTTTTGTCTTCCAGAGCTAGCTTCATTGTAGGTTAACTCATTAACCTTCAAAGTATTTTAAAACCAATCAATGTATATATTTATATATAACAATAGAGTTTTAGGCGGTAATAAGCTCTCTTCAATAGATGGCAAGTTTTTCAAAGATCGTAAAAATTTAATTCATTTGTAAGTTGCTGTTAACTCCTTTTGATCAGTGTTATAGTTTATTAGCAAATAGTGTTAACTACACATAGCTCATCTTTTTAAATAGACTCAAATAATTAAAAATTATTTTTGAAGCTAGTAGTTGGATATAGTAATAAAATAGTAATTTTCTCTTTAAAAGAAAGATTTTAGTTATTGCCTAGCTGTGATTACGTGCATTTTACTATATGCAAGTTGCACGGATCTAAAGTATTTTGGTCTCCATGTACAAAATATTTTATTAACCAATCGTTTAACAAGTTTGGTAAATTCTGTGCCTACAATTTTTATTTTATTATCTCTTCTAAGTACATAAATTATTTAAGTAAAATTGTTATTGAATAATGTATTAATATAAAAATTTCTAAATTTAAAGATATCTGCATGACAATCCTCTTCGTGTAATTAAAAAAAATGTATTCAAAAGTCTTACTGTGCTGGAGAGTTTGTAAGTTGCGAGTACTATTCATAAAAAATAATTATAATTATAGCCTTGTAAAATTTTACTTAATTATCATCATTTCCCAGCGAGTTGTTATTTTCTTTATAAGGATATCCGCTTTAAAAACTTTTTAAAGTATTAATTTTAGTAATAGTGACTTAATATGTATTTTTTTTTTTTACTTTCTAGTGTTACTTAAATAGATATCTTTACAATTGCTCTATTACATCAATAGCCGACGGGGCATTCTCTAGACTTTCAGCTTTAAAACTTTTGTAAGTTTAAATATTTTCTTGGCTTGCTTTTAAAATTAAATTTTAAATTTTATCTGCTGAAAAGGTCAATAACTAAAAAATTTATTAATGAAAATTTCTATTTTCTTTAATAATTAATAGTTTAGAAGATTTATTAAATATTTTTAAAATTTTATTAGGAATTTGCATACTAACGAACTGACTGAAATTCATAAAGAAACCTTCACTGGGCTTCATGTATTAGAAATGTAAGTTATTAGTAATACCATAACATGCGTAATAACTACTTTAATTTACCAGTTTAAAGACCCAAAAATATTTTTTTAAGTTATTATATTTAATAGCATGTTAGCGGGATTTATTATCAACCCATTTTAGGGATTATATATATAAAGTTAGCTAAAAAATATTTTTTTCTTGACATATACGCTAATATGTGACGACTCACCTAAGCTTTATATATTACAGCGTTTTTGTTATACAATAAAAAAAACTTTTTTTATAACTTTCATAGAGGTACAGATATAAAAATATGGATATAAAGAAAAAAGAAGATAGTTTAAGTTATATTAATAACAGTAAGCTAAAGTTATTAAATAATTAAAATTAGTTAAGTACAATCACTTTAAATAAGCATTTAAGAATTTTAAATCCTTCCAAGCCTCCACTGTAGCAGGTCACTTTTTAAGTTAATAATAATAAAAAAGCAAGCTTTCAGTTTGTTTCTGGTTTTATTATAATTTTTTTCAAATGCAATTATAATTAGAAATACTTTGATTGCACTTTAATAAATTATCCGTTAGTTATAGTATTTATTATACGCAGAATTCTTAATAACAATAAAATTAAGTCTATTCCAGCCAATACCTTTTCCATGTTAACCGAACTAAGCTCTTTGTAAGTGCTCGTCTTTAAAAAAATAAATCACCTTTCTTTTTATATAATACATATTAAAAAGAAGAAACATTACTTTATTTTTGTAGTAAGTCATGCATAACTTTTTTTCTACACGAAGAGTTGATGATTAATAATTTTTAGGCATCTTATTAATAATTCCATTACTGAAATTGGCTTGAACGCTTTTGCGAGCTCCTTTAATTATAGCAACTTGTATGTATTAAATTATAAATGGCACTTCATTGAGAATACTAAATATACTTATTAGGTTCATAAACCTTGATAAAACTTTCCTTTGTTGCTCAAGAATTTTAAACAACTTTCTTGAATTTTCCGATCCTTTATGCACCCACAACGGGGGATTTGAAAAAATCTCTACGTTTTCCTTTAGAAGTTGTTACGGCTCGCTTCCAGCGAATGGCAGTATTGCCGAATCCAGAGCTAAGAATATTAACAGAAGACCTGTTACTAGTAATAATGATGAAGTATGTATAAAAACTTTTCTATATATATCTATGGAAACTACTTACTATGAGTAAAAAAAGAGGCTTACTTATGTTTTTTATGTAAATCACTGTCATAAAAGAATGCAAAATTTATGTTTTTTTTTATTATATAAATAATTTAGCACTTGTTGAAAAATATTACTTATGAAAGTGCATGGAAACTTGCATTTTTCATAGCCGGTCCTACAGCTGTACTAGCCATAACTATTGTGCTTGCAGTAAATAGTTATAATAAGCGAATGCAAAGAAAAAAGGGTGTCGGTTTTGATAAACAGGAAAAACACTCAAACATATTATTAAACCCACTTTTTAAGTCAGCAGGCACTGACAACATAAATTTTTCTGCTGTATAAATTTTTTTTTTGTTCTCAAACAACTGAATTGCCAAATATAAATAAAAATAATTTCAATTATTGTTTTTAAATTTTTATGTGAAGTATAAACATTATAATCGGGCCAGGTTATTTTCTTTTCCTCTGCTTAATGATATACTCAAGGTAAGCGGGTAGCTATACATGTGTTGAGATCATGATACTGTGCTTGACTCATAGGGAAAAGGCTTTAAACACTTCCTTTTTAAATTTTGTAGCCCCCCACCTCCCTTTTTTTATATAACTATTGAACAATTTTTGTGCTTTAACTTTAATGCCGTTAAATGGAAGGACCCCTCATTTTTTCCTGTAATCCGTGTTCCCTTTCTTCCCCAACTTTTTTTTTTGGGGGTTCCACCAACTTGAATCGTCTTTACTGCATTCTCATCCGCTCTTCTCCTGGATTTATAAATAACAGGGCTGTGATGCAAAGGCTAAGCTTAACATTTTTGAGTATAACCGTTTTCTTCGTTTGTTTTCTAGGTGGTTAAAAAATTGGCCAAACTTTTTATGTAGATGCTCTCTTTATAGCTGAATGATACATAAATAAAGGTTGAGTGCCCATGGCAAGAGAGTGCAGGACTTGTTAAGATTAAAAGATCTACGAAGAGATAACTTTAAGGAAACTAAGATAAATGGACGTGAAGATACAGTATACTTTATCGAAGCGAATATTATCTGCAAGGGGCCAGGAATTGATAACTGTTGTTATAACTTTGGTGTAGTTACCGCAGTTATTAGGTTGAATAAGATGCTTATCTTACAGGATGATTGTTTATATGTGCGTTCTTCAATCATTATCTGTTATTAATTATTAACTCTTCGTCTGCTCTAGCCATTTTAAAAGTCTAAAGATTGTAAAAAATTTCTAGTCGGTCGATAATAGAATATTCTGTGGACTGTAGCATCTGCTTGTAAAGCCATTTACTCATTACGCCTAACGGTTTCTTTAATAAGCTCAAATAGGGATAGCCTTTCCCTTTCGTCTTTCTATTTCAATATAATTCATCAAATTTTATATGGAATAATTGTGATAGCAAACGAGGTTTATTTTATTTTAAAAAAAGTGTGTATGTAGGAACTCTCATTCACTAGCTATACGCATAATGTATAAATGTTATTTTCTTATCGTAATTAATATTATAAGATCGTGAGCTTATAGTGTATTAATATTCTTTGGAAAACCATTAGTAATTAAAAGATGATCTCTTTTAAGTCATATTAAGTATTTTTTCTTCTTATTAATATTATAAGTCATTTTCGGGTTAAACTATAAGTTTACTACTAGAGGGAGCTAAAGTAGTATAAATGTTAATTTATTATTAGAGAATAATTTTAGTTAGGGTAACAGATTTTATTGTTTTTACTCTAATCATAAATAACAGCTGAAGCTAAGTAAGCTTTGCAGGACTTTACCCGTTCAACAGCTTTTATTAGCTGCGCGGCCTGTGTAGGTTGTTTAACCTCTAGCAAACCGAGAGCTTTCTTCTCTACTGCATCTTTTAATGGATTATTATTATACGTATATACTTTTTCAAGAGAGGAATTGTTGCAATTTCGATCCGTCTTCAGATATTCTGCCTTGCATAAATTTTTGTTTTGGATGTAAATAATTTTCTCCTTCTTTCGAGCGTAAGTAGACAACGTTTCCTTTTGAAAGTTTATATCATTTTCCGCTAACTCAGAATTATTTTCTTTCTCTTCCCCATCTTCACTAATAAGATTACTGGATACAACCAGTTTATTTTCTTCCATGTTCATAATTTTGTTGTCCTCTATTATTACTTGAACAATTAAATTTATATATTGAACCTTTTTTAAAAAAAGTTATTGCCTTTTTTATCCATTTTTACATCTAAGACTGTTGATGAATCGACCAATGGCGTGAATTGATGGATCTTGTCAAACTTAATAATTATTAATTAATAAAAATATAATAATATACATAAAAAACTTCTGATAAATGGTAATGCTCACCTCCTCCAACATTCTCTTTCTTTTACCTTCTGCTATAGTGGGAGAAGTTTTTATTTTTTCACGTATTTCTAAAAGCCTTTTCTGTGCCAACTCTTTCGCTATTTATTACTAGTAAATAATGCGTTTTTGGAACACTAAATTAATTATTTAGTACGATTTTCTAAAGTATAGTTGAAGGTACTCGGCTTCCCGAAAGGTGTCAATTTTGCATTCATGCGCTTATGCTAGCAAATAAAAGCATAATTATATTTTTTAAAAATAATAGTTATGGAGGACCTCTTTTTCCACTAATTTTAAGTAATAATATAACTTTGAAGGCATCTATTAATCAGATTATAAGTAAAAAGACGTTTATATTATCGAAATAAAAATTATGCTACACCTCACAAACCGTTCCATGATTTTCTATCATAAAATGCAAAAGTTTCACAAATTTTTCATTTCGTGAAAGTATTTTTTCTTGTCAAAGTATATACATAAATTTCATAATTATATATAACTTTATTTCTAAGGGTAATACCTGCAGATTTAGAGGAAAGTAAAACTTGAGTATCTAATAGAAAGAGATTAGGGGCCCACACTTTGGCTATATTTAAAGCACACATCTTATTTTCCTTGTTATAAGAACTTATGGTAGCGCCTAAATAATTAAAATGTAAGAACTTAGGTCCTTCTATTAATGTAATAAACGTACCAAGCTTTAAAGCAGCTTTTAATAGATTATAATGAGATGGTGGTAAAAGTAAATTAAGCATTTGTAAAGTTTCCAATTCCTCTCCTAGGTTCTTATCTGTTTTCAAAATCAATAATAAATAAAAAAGCGAGAAGTACATTAAAAACAAACAAGAAAGTCGATAATAGCTTTCATGGAGGTATTTGGGAATAAGTCCTCCTGGTATCATTTTTATAAAGGTCCTAAGCACTCCGGTGACATCATGAATTGTATAATCTCTATTCAAGGATTCAATTTTTACTCTCAAAAACTTACCAGACTAAATTTTTGCCATAATACTTTAATAGCTTTGTTTCGTTCATAGGAGCTGCCTTATCCAACTCTTGCTTCATTAATTCTTGTCGGTGTACAGAGCCAGTTATTCTAAACAAGCCTTCTGTATTAACTCCTACAATAAATGTAATTCAATTTCTTTGTATTCATTAGACTACAATATAAAGGTATTATTGAATACTGTTTTCGTATAAGATCAGCCCACAAAGTAGCTTAAAAATAGGTGGTACAGTCAAATCATTTGTAATTAATTGTAATGGCTTTCCAAATGTCTTATATAAACATTTCATTAAGTATTATAAAAACTAAAAAAAAGTGTTTGCTTTTTACTTTGAGCTCGGATTGTTCCTTTCCTTGAATTTTAGTTAAAGAAGCCCTTTGTGTGCTATGAAATACTTTCTCTCATTATTAATATAATGGTTTCAAAAAGTTAAGAGTACAATTGTAGGGTCTCTGAAATTCTATGAATCATCCTTTTTGAAAGAAAGTATTTGTTTCGTTCAGTTTTAATAGTAGCTCGATGTTCAATATGCTTTTTTATTAGTTGTCTACAAGTTAAGTCTTTTAAGTCCAAATATTGCTGTAATCGTTAGATTAAATAAGTAGTTACATCAATATAATATAAGTACTTCGTCGTTTGTTACCCTCAATTCTTTGTAACAAAACAAGATCTTCTTACAGGTGTAAACTTCATTAACTGTCAAAAATTCTTTTGGCAAGCAACAAATTCCCGTTTGAAAGTTTCTAATAAAATTATTTAAAATCAATCTCATATATATTTATTTTTTATATTAAAAGTTTACCCAGAGTCCATCATTTTATCAAATAGTTTAATTAAAGTTTCTTCATAAATCGGTTGGTTAACTTTTTCGCCTTTATTTTTAAAAAAGATTTGTCATCTCTGAGTATAATAATAAATCTAAACCTTTAAACATATCAATCTTCTCCAATGGCATTAAGGAAATCATCCTTGCAATACCAAGTCACCTACATATACGAGCACTACTGATACCAATGCTAGCTATTTATACCCACTAAACTTCAGGTTATAAAAATAATATGTAGAAGTTAAACTATATAAATTTGATAATGGAAATAATATTTTTTAAAATCGGCAACATATCCATACTATTCGGTATTTTCTGTTTACAGAACTTCTTTAGTTTTTAGGTAGCTTTTTTTGGTATCGCTTATTGAACTTAACCAATTAGGGTTTTTAAGTATTTTCGCCATTTGTTCAAAGCACTTCTTTTTTTAGTCATATTCAATTTTTCTTTTCAAAGACTTTGTTGTCAAAAATTCTGAATGTAAAAGGTTGACAGAAAAATCCTTTACAAGAAAAAAATTGTTTATAAAATATCCTTTGATTTATCAATGGGTATGAAACGAAGTCCGCGTAAATGTCATTTACACGTGTAGGTGAGTATTCTGATAAATTGGTCCTTTGTCTTACATTAGAAGTAAATTTAAATATCAATTTGAAGAGTGGTAAAAAATAATTATATTCGAGTTCAACTAAAATTAATTTTAGAGGAAGACAATCATTAAAGTTACTATTCCGGAATTTTTGTTTAAAAAGTAGTATTAGTGTATTCTATAGGAGTTTTTACCACAAAGAAAAAAACAGATCTTGGAAGATAATTAAGTTAAAAACCCCATTAAAATATTAGCAATGCAGATATATCCCATAAAGTATATTATTAAACTTTGCTACGAAGAAGCAAGAAAAGATTAAATTATACCAGCTATAAGGTTCAGAATGCATAAAAGCAATCTCCTATAAAAAATTATGTTCGATCGCGATCTCGAAAAATTTCCTTCAGTCTTTGGCAAAACTTAAAAATGTGGTATAGTGGGTTTGTCTATTTTTTTAGCTGCTAACCTTCCTGAAGTGGTTTATACAATAAGACTTGCTGCATGTCTAACTTCTCCACCTAGTATTTAGTTTCCACAATCATTAGACTAATGTGAATTAAAATAAATTACAAATGTGTATCGAAAATACGGTAATAATTTAACTATACTTATTAATAAAGCTTAATTCTCCTTATTGTAACTG